ACACTACGACTCCCACGATGCACCACCTCTGGGAGTCCAACGTGACCTGGTTGGGGTTTTTTTAAGTGCCTTGCAGAGCCTCGCCATGAAATCCAAACTTTCACCTGTTCACAAGTCATGAAACACGACCTGGCTTTGTAAAAACTCATGCACCATTTTCACAAATACAGTTTTTATAAACGACTTGTTGTCTGTCTGTTCGGGTCGGGGTTAGAACTGTTGGCTCACTAAGGCCTGCATGTCCTGGGCTGGACCCTTGTGGGTGCTGGAAGGGCTTTTGCACCGCAGACCCAGAGGAACGCGTGCAGATGTTCTCCTACACCATCATACTGCTGACGGCTTTGTGCTGACCCGAAGTTTCAGACCGAGAGGTTCACCTCCAGGCAGAAGCATCCTGTGTGTCGTGATCAGCAGCAGCTGGGATGTTTATGACCGATAAGGTTTGTTTATTTCATCAACAGGCCCACGTTCTAATGGGGCCAGCGTTTCAACGATTAACCACGGTGTGGAACGCTGCGGTTCACCCGCCGTAAAGACGTCTCCAACGCCACAACAAATAAATACATAAATAAAGTAGCGGACGGGAGCGAAGCTGAACCACTCGGCAGAAGCAGCATCAACCACAGGACCGCTCCGCTCCACCCAGGAAGTGCTTCAAGCTGCAGAACCATGATGGTCCACCTGCAGGGCTGGCAGATTAAAAGTTACGACTCTCCCACCTAATCTCTCTGAGATTATCACGCAGACAGATTAGGTCTGAGTCAGATTAGATTAGTGTCTGAACAGACTAACAGTAATATTAGAACAATCCAGTTCATACTGTGTTCTACGTTCCCCCGTATCTGTCTACAAGCCGTATGGCAAGCCATTTTAATATTTAATCAACTACACCTCTGTATCTGTCTACAAGTTGTACGGCAAGCCATTTTAATATTTAATCAACTACACCTCTCTGTAATTCATGTTCTGCACGATAATATAATTTATTCTTGTCCAGATATTAATCTTACTGATTAAATTAGAGTAGAAATGGCATTTAAACAATAACAACTGCACTAGTGGGAAGTTAGCATGAAGGTGTCTCCGTCCTTCAGAGCTAACCGGACCAGCTTCAACAGTTAACCTTCACAGAACCTCTAAACCGACTGTTAGACAAATATTAAAGGTGTGGTTCTCTGAGCAACCATTTGATTATTGTTGATTCTAACGGGTCACTCTGAGTGTTTCATGCAGGCTGAACATGAAAATAGTCTCCTACACCTATCTCCTGCATTAGCTTCTGAAAGAAAGTAGTTTATTTGATTTTGATTTTTTTTAATTCACTTCAGACCATTCAAACTAATTAAAATCAAATACAAAATAAAAATGTCTCATTTAGACATTCCTCTTTGGTCCTTAAAGGGGAATAGAGAGAAGCTCAAGGCTTTTCGTTGCCCTATCCCTCAACGTCTTCATCTCCACACATACATCATAAACAACCAAAAGGCAAAACTTACATTTTCACATTAGCAAGAAATCATATAAACACGTTTACATCTTAAATAAATCCAAACTGGTCTTATAGACTTAGCATCACCAAGTCTTTCTTCTGTATAATTTCTTTAATTGTACAACAGTTTACCATGTTTTTATGTTTTCCTCCATGCTATTCCACCGAACCACTCCTCAGACATGATTGTCTCATGTTATTTTGGCCCCTGAGCATATAATCTACTTCTCTCTCCCTAAAATGTTTTTGTAAGTTCAGTGGAAGATGTGCTGAGTTATATTTAACAATATGGTTGACCGTAAGAAGATTAGATTTTAAAAACAGATGACTGGTATGCTCGTAGAATCCTACATTATGTTTTATTCTTATTGCTTTTTTGTTTTGAAGATTAAATAACGGCTGTAAGGTGGTTTTATAAGTATCTCCCCATACCTCTATACAATAATTGAGGTATGGCAGAATAAGTGAAGAGCACAATGTATGCAACACTTTGCTTTTTAGGAGATATTTAGCTTTAGATAGTTTTCCTATACTACTTATTTTGCAGTAACCTGTTTGATTTGTGGTCAGTTATGACTCCTAAAAATTTCCCAAATTATCAATCATTGTATTATTAATCATAATCATTTGTATTGATGCTTCGATTTCCAAACATTATATATTTAGTTTTTTCTAAATTTACTGATAGTTTATTTTTGTCAAACCATTGCTTCCCTTTTATCAGGTCCTCCCTGACAACGTCTAGCATTTTTTCTATATTATCTCCTACACATAATACATTAGTATCATCTGCAAAAATAAACATTTTCAATACGGTCGAGACCTTACTGACATCATTAATATATAAAATGAATAACTTTGGACCCAGTATTGACCCCTGTGGGACTCCACAAATTAAGTTGCTTATACTTAAAGGGGCATTATGGAAGTGTGACAGCCAAAACATGTATAGAAATAATAAATGTCTTCTTCATACGTTCTCCTGCAATGCCCTGGTCCTGTAGAACGAGCCCTGGCATTTTTACTGTGATTGCCTGTTTTTCTGTAAAATCACAGAAAAAGAGAGATGCTCGGGTCGAGCAGGCTGCTTCATGCGCGTTCACGCTCAGGCATCGCCCGTAGCATTTGCTATCCGTAGCTTTAGCAGCAGAGAGAGAGGCAGTGCCACTTTGTCGCTGTTCCTAACGCCTAGTGACAAAGCTAGCTACATTTCTGAGGACCCTTAGCTACTTTCTGTAGAGCTTTCTTCTAGATATTTCCTGCTAATTAGCAACAAAATAGCCATTTTCACTCCGAACCGTCCTTTGGTTTGACGTTGTTTCAGCTGTCATCAAGGATATAAATGTTACAGATACAAATGATGTTACTGGTGATTTAGCTCACCTTGTAAGACATCTGACTCTCGTGCAAAATACCCGGGTTTGATTCTGGATGTGAACATAGTTCATTTAGAGTTTCTTTTTTACATTAATGGTATATTTTTACAGTAAGATGCCCAAATTTGTATTTGAGACTCGCCCAACGGCTTTGAATTCACAGATGAAAAAGATGTGGGTTCAACTTTCATTTTGGAACAATTTTTCAAGCAAGGGAAGGGAATGATCTGAGCATGCAGGAGGACTGACCCATCATAAACCTTTGTCGGCTGTGCTGAAGAGAAAGCAACAGAACCACATTATTTAATTAATTAGCCGCTCGCTCTCCTGTCCTCGGTCCTCCGGGCCACACACACACACACAAGGGACTGTCTCAGCTGTTATTTTCGTTAAGGAGTGTGCACGTACAGCATGCGCACCTCGTGCACGAGCCTACTATTGAAGCTGCCGTTATGCTTTTGGCCTGAGGGGGCGATCGCGAGCATAAAAACTCAAAACTCTGTAAAGTCCCTTTAAACTGAATTCATTCATCTGCACATGTTCACGTTTAGTCATATAACTTTTCACCCAGTCTCGTGAAATATCTCTAACACCAAACTGTTCCAATTTCTGAAATAAAATATGGTGATCTATAGTGTCAAAAGCTTTCCCTAAATCTATAAATACTCCTACACCTACCTCCTGCAGCAGCTTCTGATAGAAGATAGTCTCCTACACCTACCTCCTGCAGCAGCTTCTGATAGAAAACAGACAGCGAAAGTCTAGGATAGAAAATCCTGACAGATCTACGTCACCCTGTCACTAACATTCATGGACTCACCTATCTGGACTCACGATGGGAAGCTGCTGTTGGTTTAGCGTCCAGGAAACATCAGAGAACGTCTCAGCTAGTAGAAGCTAACTGTTAGCATTAGCAACTCCACCACACAGCAGAACTCCTCCAGGCTCGTGTTATTGGTGGAGATAAAACATCAACGTTGCAGAGCAGCAGCGGAGGGAATTTTTCTGAGCTAAATCTGTGAAAAGGAACGACAGATATTTCAGGGGTTCAAACCCGTTACAGAACATAATCGTGTCTTTAATCAATAACTTAGAACGTGTGATTCATGTGTTAATGCAGAAGTAAAATAATCAGTTCATGTAAAATCATCATGACACCGTGATTATTTCTCCATAATGTTCTATATTACTATAATCGTAACGAACACTTTCTTGTGCTTGCTCACTGCATTTTCGTTTGGATGCCATCTATCCAGCTCCATGGATCCACCTACCTGACGGTGCACTTCACCAGGTGGGTCAGATGATGCTGCTGCTATCAACCATTGTGGGAACGTGCGTGGTGTCATCTCCTCTCGGCTGACGGGGCTGCACGCGCCTCGCGGCAGTGATGCACTTTGTGCGCTGTAGCCCCTGGAGTCCCAGCTGGTGTGCCTCTGCAGACCTTGGGAGGAACCAGAGCTGATGGTCTTCACCAGATCCTCCAACAGCATCTGGGTTTAAATTTGGACGATGAGAACATCTGAATCTTTCTGGTTTTCTCTGCACCGACTCACTGATGACCCCAAACAGGAACATCCAATCAAGTTCATTTATCACTGACAAGATACCGAAGTTGTTAAACATATTTCTGAACAAGTGCAGCAATTCTCACGGTGTTTTAAGGACCTTCTGGGTCTCCTGTACCACCACCTGATGACGTCCCCGTAAACCTCTCACCTGCTTTTCTGATGCAGCCATGGGTGGAAACCCAGAAGAAGAGTGTTTCCACACAGCGTTTGCGGCACAGTTGTATTTTTAGCACTTCCTCTGAGAGGCCTTGGAGGTGGAGCTTTTGAAGCTCTGCAGGTGTCAGAGCGACGGGGGGGTCCTGTCACCACGGGACGGCGTGTGCTGCTCAGACAAGAGAAGTGACGTCGTTTTCTGTGATGCTGAAGAGGATTTGAGTTTACTGTGAAGAAGGCTGATGCTAACGTAGCTGTGGGTTTAGCTTCAGCTCTACAAACATCTGTCTCCAGAAGTGAAGAACGTGTGCTGGCTCAGCTCTCAGTAGCACAGTGGACATGTTCCAGATCGTCAGACATTGTCATCATTTGACAGTTCAAACATGACCTACTGCAGCGTGGTCGGTGACGAGGCCAGGTTCCTGGTGACCCAGCAGTCCAAGCAGCACGCTACACCACAGCTCACTGCTTCTGATCCACAACCACCTGAAAGTCTTCTCTGCCGCTGCACTCTTTTCTTGGTGGCCGTTCTCTCCTGCGCCCCTCTAAGCTGTGAGGTGACGGTCCTGGGAATCTCCTGCAGCCTTCCCGGTTCCTCTGCAGGGATCAGTGAGCTACGGGTGTTTGGCCTTTTCCACACATGGGCCTCCTCCTCGGTGAGCACCACCTGCTTGGATGAACTAGATGTTTAACAACACTCACTTGTGTAGCACCTTTCAGAGTCAGAGGACTCCAAAGCACTTTACACTACAGAGCATCATTCATCCGCTCACACACTGATGGTGATGAGCTACAACGTAGCCACAGCTGCCCTATGGCACACTGACAGAGGCGAGGCAGCCGAACACGGACGCCACCGGTCCCTCCGACCACCACCAGCAGGCAAGGTGGGTTAGGTGTCTTGCCCAAGGACACAACAGCAGCATTCTCTGGTCAGTGTCAGAATTGAACCTGCAACCTTCAGATTGGCATGGGCAGCAGTAGCTCAACAGGTGGAGCGGGTTGTCCAGTAATCGGAAGGTTGCAGATTCGATCCCGGCTCCGGACAGAGAGTTCTGCTGTTGTGTCCTTGGGCAAGACACTTAACCCACCTCGTCTGCTGGTGGTGGTCGGAGGGACCGGTGGCGTCTGTGCTCGGTAGCCTCGCCTCTGTCAGTGCGCCCCAGGGCAGCTGTGGCTACATCGTAGCTCATCACCATCAGTGTGTGAGCGGATGAATGTTACACTGTAGTGTAAAGCGCTTTGGAGTCCTGACTCTGAGAGGCGCTGTACAAGCGCGGGTCATTGATCATATTACTGGACAGCCACTCTACCTCCTGAGCTGCTGCTGTCCCCAAAAACTAAATCTGGTGTGAGTGTTGTGGTGGCGATGGACTCTGGATCCCCACGTCCTCTAGGAGCTGAGGCGTAGCCCTGATGAGGTCCTCTGCTGGTTTGGAGGTTTCTCTCCCGCTTGGTCCGTTGTCGTGGTCTTCTGCCATGACCCCTTGACCTTGGAAAGGGGGGTTATAACGTCCAAAAGGGTTGATTTTCTCCTTTATATTGGCCAACATAACCTTTTATCCACAGCATAAATCCACTTTCTGTGGCCTTCTAAATCCAGAAGGTTCTGCTCAGCGCGTGCTGACTAATGAAGACAAACATTCTCTCCCAAGGTTCCTGCACTCTCTCTGAACGCCAGACGTCATCATTCTTCACTCTGAACAAGTGAAGACTCCACGATGTTACAGTTATACGTTAAATAATCAGATGTGATGAATGAACAAGATGTTTAAATGAAATGTTTGAATAATCTGTGCTTAAACTATGAATTTGAAATGAACATTGTTCTTACAACGATCCATTTCTATCACAAATCAGTGTGTGTTGATTTAACAAGTGAATCGTTGTTTACACTCACACACGTTACCATAAGATACTCATTAAGGTTAAAAACATCTTTGTGTCTGAGGAGGGCGTGGCTTTCTGAAGGATGTTGGTAAATAATCAGAAACGTGTCAAATTCTGATTGGCCAAACTCGGCCAGAAACCACAACAAAGTAGTTTAATAAAACAAGAATTACTTCCTGATTAATTGAGTTTCTCGCTGACCCTCGAACCGGCCAAATCAGGAAAGAAGCCTTTTTGAAACCATCGTCTCCTTTGACCTCCTGACAAAGCCTCTCTGCAACGCTGCGGCTGATACCAGACAACCGGCTCTCTAAGAGCCAAATATTCCAGCTTCCTGCCTTCACCTGGAGGGATCTCAGACTGGACGGGTCCTATCGGAGCCGTCTACAGGTTCCTGATATCAGAGTTCACTCCACCGGCAGTGACCGTCGACCCCCCGGATCGAACGAGAACCTCCACACCAAGGGTGCGTAGACTTGGCACGACAGATTGCGTCTGATGCTTTTTATAAATAAACAACCAATTATTTTACAGCCACATTTCACAGTTTCTCTCAGATACAAAGATTCTGATTAACGTCTAGCTTCCATCACATCACATCTCATTATTCATATCTGTCATGTATTATTAGTTCAGTAAAAATAATTAAATTCATTTTATTAACCACATACTGACTGAAATAATACGAAGTGTGTTTATGATCCCTGAATGAACCCTAGAATCTTCTGATTAAACATTGAAAGATCTATCAGGTTGATAGTTCATATTTATATGGAACATCACATCTTATTGGTCATAATTAATATGTTTTAGTTGCTTCAGCCTAACCCTAACCCAAACCCTAACAGTTCCTGACCTGGGTGGGAGGAATCAGCAGCGATACGATTGGCCTTCCTTTGCAGTCTGAGAGTATAAGATCTGGTAGCGGGCTCCCTACGATCCACTGGGCAGTTTTCACCATTTTAACACAATGCCAGTAAACCTGATCACGTTAACGCCATGTTTTTGTCTTTGTTAGCTGTGGCAGCCATCTTGGATTGGTGAGAAGCTTAAAAAAGAGCACCCAATAAAATTGTACTGAAGTTTGGTCAAAATCTGTCAGGATGGTCAAAAGGTATGTTGCTAGCTGCTAACACACGCGTGATAAACTTTAATGGCAAATAGTTGATGACGGCAAAGTTTGAAACAAAGAACTCTTATGATTACAACTCGGAGTAGCGGATACCGGTCTGTCGTGGTGAAGAGAGAGCTGAGTCAGAAGGCAAAGCTCTCGATTTACCGGTGGATCTGCGTTCCTACCCTCACCTATGGTCATGAGCTTTGGGTAGAGACCGAAAGAACGAGATCACGGATACAAGCGGCTGGAATGAGTTTTCTCTGAAGAGTGTCTGGGCTCTCCCTTAGAGATAGGGTGAGAAGCTCGGTCATCCGGGAGGGGCTCGGAGTAGACCCGCTGCTCCTTCACATCTAGAGGAGCCAGCTGAAGTGGCTCGGGCATCTGGTCAGGATGCCTCCTGGACCTCCCTGGTGAGGTTTTCCGGGCACGTCCAACCGGGAGGAGACCTAAAGGTAGACCCAGGACTCGCTGGAGGGACTCTTGAACATGGGAACGCCGTGGGATTCCCCTGGAGGAGCTGACCCAAGTGGCTGGGGAGGGAAATCTGGGGCTTGTGTGTGTGTGTGTGTGTGTGTGTGTGTGTGTGTGTGTGTGTGTGTGTGTGTGTGTGTGTGTGTGTGTGTGTGTGTGTGTGTGTGTGTGTGTGTGTGTGTGTGTGTGTGTGTGTAGAGGATACAGTAATGGGCTCGACACACGGGAGGCGACATTCCCTCTCCGCCATTCATTTTCAATGAGACATGCGCGACAAAGCGATAATTGCGGGTCTCCCTCCTACTAAGCGAAACGTGGAAAACGTGCGTGTGAAATTTTGCGCTCATGCACGTGTCGTGCACAGGCGACCCAGCGACGCGATCCCAGAAAGTTGAAATATTTTCAACTTTGTGTGAAGCGCGTTCCATCCGCGAGCCGCATAAAGCGTGGTTTATGCTTGACGCATTCACTTTCCGCGCGGTGATGCGGCTCGCGGCTGGAACGCGCTTCACAACTCGCAGCGTTTATGGTTCATGCGGCTTGTCTCTGCGGTGAGCCAATATTCTCCCAAACTGTAGGGGGCAGCATGGAGCTCTATGGCATGCATCCAACACTACACCATAATAGAAGTAGAAATTACTGTTTACAACATGGTATTCCAGCATTTTTAACAGCGTTCTCGTCTTTTCCGACAGTGCGAGCTATTTCTCTCCAAGAATTATTAACAACATGTTGATCACGGTGATCTCTGAGAGCTGAATCATACAAATGTCTGTATTTACCAACCTCTGCCATACTAGTTCTTGCCGGTCCGCCATGTTTTTCTGGGTCTGACCGTCTGCGTGGTTAGAAAATTTCCCAGGTGCGTGTTGCGGAAATTTTGGGCCGTGCGGAGGCGCGGTGGAGGGGCGTGGTTGTTAAAATGATGCAACTTTTCCGTGCGGACCCCGCGGACGCGTCAAGCATTTAACGCTGCGAGTTGTGAAGCGCGTTCCATCTGCAAGCCGAGCCGCATCATCACCAAGCGGAAAGTGAATGCGTTAAGCATAAACCAAGTTTTACCATTGGCCGCCTCCCGTGTGTCAGGTAATATAAAAGCGACAGCGACAAATTTCGCTGATCGCAGTCGTTTGTCGCCTCCCGTGTGCCGAGCCCATAAGAGGTAAATCTAAATCAAATGCAGATATGAATTATATATATAAATAAATTAAAGCTTTGATAATACATTTTTTTTATTATATTATTTTTACCAAGACTAATAAAAACAGTATAACATGTTGCACCCGCCCCGAACATCCGGCTTCCGTATTGATGCTGACGTCATCTTTAACTAGCTGAACTCAGGGGCGGAAGTATCTTGTTTGTCTCTTTCCTCTTTTTAAACTTTTAAGGGTTTCATTTTTTTATGTTCATAGTCATGAGAAACGGACGTGCGTGCGCGCGCGCGCGCGGTGGAACCGGGTGGAACTAACGTTTCCAGAATATGACGGAGCAGCTTGTGTGGGCGGGGCTTGGCAGCAGCCAATAGGAAGCTCGGTTGTTGCTGCCGAAGCCAGCTGATCGATGAGTCAAAGGAGAGCTGCCGAAAGGATCCACTTGTTGCTGAGCAGAATCTGAACGTCAGCTGACAGCGGAGCTCCAAACCGAACCGGACCGGACCGCCTCTACTCCAGCCGCTGCCGCTACGCTGTCGGATCTCAGGTGAGACGTTCAGGTGTTCCCTGGTAGAAGCGAGCCTAAATGATGCTGTTTCCTCCGCTCTCTTTCACCCGATGTAACTGGAACCAATCGTGTTCTGACTCAGATCCGGGCTCGGTGGACCGAACCGACAGTTTAGGTGAAGTAAAGCTGCTGCCTGACCATCCAGCTGCTGGTTCTGGTTCTGGTTCTGCAGGTCAGGGACGAAATTTTGATTTCAGAAGTGGGGGGGACACAGCAGGCTTGTGCGGATTTGGGGTGGGGGGTGTTATGTAAAGACCCCTTGACACGTCACATGCCCATCTCAATAATTTTTCCATCCTCTATATCTATATCTATATCTATATCTATATCTATATATATATATATATATATATATATATATATATATATATATATATACATACATATCAAAGTTAAAAAATGTACAACTCTATTATTATTTTTATTTATTATCATTATTGAAGTGCAGTTTTGGCTGTTGACAATGGATAGGCCATTGTATTTATTGTTTTGGGTCTTTTTTTATTGTTTTTGGTGCAACATTTTCTAACAGGGAGTGAGATTCCTTTTTTATTTAATTTTTGTTTGTTATTTTTATTCATTTAGAAGTTCTGGTTCTGGACATTTCAATGTTAAATGAAGGTTTATTTGTTGCATTTTAAAGGGTGTACTTGCATTATTATGATATATTAACATTATATTAGTGGTTATTTTGGTCTAGATAATGTTGACAATGATATCGTTTATCATCAACAATTTGTTGGACAAAATATCGTCCAGCAAAATTTGTTACTTTCCCAGGCCTAGTCAAAAGTATAAAAAGTATTTATACATAAACGGTCCCTCCTGAGATCTGGCCGTTTGTTCATTTGCTGTGTTAGAGGACATGCTGAACCAATGTTTTACACATGATCATCACCCTAACATTTGAGTGTATAAAAACATATTAAATATGTTTTTCCCTTAAAAGTGTTTAAACAGTTGTTGCATTTCAACACACAAAAAAAATGGAAAAAATAAGATAAATCTAATGAAAAGAGTACATCTTTGACATTAAGCTTAAAAAATCTGTTGACGATGACGATACTGTTCATTTTTCAGAGCTTTTTAATGTGAACATATGCATTGCAATAGATAAGTTTACAATAAAGTTAAATGATAAAAGTTTTGAAGTTACACTTCTACTACTACTACTACTAGTAATAATAATTATGATAATAGTAATAATAAAAAAATAATAATTATAATAATATGAATAAATTGTGTCTGAGGAGTCAGTTATGTGGAGGAGATGAGTTTGTAAAAGTTAGTTTTGAGTATGTTTGTGAAGGAGGAGGTGAGTCTGAGCTTAATGCAGGTCTGTCACATGTCCAACTTACGTTTTGACTTTGAAAGAAGTCTCTTATATCCACTTTTCGTTTTCTTGACATGCTGCCTCCTGGCTGTGCCTAACTACCAAAGACTCACAAATGAACACTTATTCAAATGTTATATAATGGAAGCTGAGCTCTGATATTACACAGCGTCTAGTTGACGATGTGACTCAGTACCGGTGTTCCCTAGCGGCTCCAAACTAGCAAAACAACGTGAGCACGTTCTGTTTACAACTTGAGTGACAGCAGCAACAGCCAATAATACGTTAGCAAGTATCAGCAGAGCCAATAGATTAGCTTTTGGGCGGGTCTAATAGGAAACCGGTTTCCGTTTCGGTCCTAGTGCTCAATCAAATCCATTTAATGGAGCGTAACATTGCTTTTGGACGGAAAAAAGTGCAGGGGACCAAAACTGCCTTTTGAAAAAGTGGGGGGGGACATGTCCCACCCGTCCCCCCCCAAAATTACGTCCCAGCTGCAGGTAATCTGACACCAGTGGGTGTTGGGATTTAGTTTTGGTTCCACATCAGAATGAGAAGCGAAACCTGCTGGAATGTCTTGAACATCAGATGTGAATCCGTTCTCATCTGAATCGGACAGAAACGGCTCCTCTGACCTCACGGGGACATGAGTGACGCTGGGCTGCTCTCAGATCAGCTTCCTGAGCCTCCTGGGAAAACAGATGCAGAGAAGTTGTGGAGTTTCTCTGGTCAACCCCATCAGCGTCGGCTGGGGGAGAAGCTGATGTTTCCTTCACAGATCATCATCCAGGCTGCAGGGTTGGTCTCTGCTGCAGCTTCTCCCCGCCTCTCCACCTGCAGTGAAAGGGCTCAGGCCACCTGCTGCTGCTTGTCTGTGCCAGATGAAGATGTTGTGGCTGGAAACATGCAAATGCATCACTTCCTCCATGCCATAACATGTTTCCAAAGAGAAGAGGTGAAAACGCAGCAGTTACCCATCCAACGTGGACGCTGCAGCATGAAGGGGAATTGGACCTGCAGCTTTTCTCACACTGAAGTACTCGAGTCTACCAGCCATCACCGGCTGGCTAGAAGAGAACTTCCTTCAGTTAAACTCTGGATGTCTGAGCACGCTTCCCCTGATTAGTCAACAACTTCATCGTTCAATCTGAGTCCAATCTCAGGGGCAGAAGTTGCTGAGGTAGTCAAACAACTACACAGCGGCGGAGCCCCGGGGGCGGAGGAGGTTCGTCCTGGGTATCTCAAGGCTATGGATGTTGTAGGGCTGTCATGGTTGACACGTCTCTACAACATTGCGTGGTCATCGGGGGCAGTTCCTAGGGAGTGGCAGACCGGGGTGGTGGTCCCCATCTTTAAGAAGGGTGACCTGAGGGTGTGTTCCAACTATAGGGGGATCACACTCCTCAGCCTCCCTGGAAAGGTCTACGCCAAGGTACTGGAGAGGAGGGTCCGATCGATAGTTGAATCTCAGATAGAGGAGGAGCAATGTGGTTTTCGTCCTGGCCGTGGAACTGTGGACCAGCTCTATACCCTTGCAAGGGTGATGGAGGGGGCATGGGAGTTTGCCCAACCAATCCACATGTGCTTTGTGGATTTGGAGAAGGCTTATGACCGTGTCCCCAGGGGCACCCTGTGGGGGACGCTCCAGGAGTATGGGGTGGGTGGCTTTCTGTTAAGGGCCATTCAGTCCCTTTACC